CTAGCACTTAGCCGGTTTTTTTAATATCAACAATACAATCTTTAATCACGCTATACAGTTGCGGTTACAATTTACAGTGAAAATATTTATTACATTAAAACTCAACTGCATTTAGTGAATGTCCAAAATACTCGTAGTACTTCATAGTAACAGAAACGGGAAGGATACAATATAATAATTCTTCACTAAACTTTAAAATAAAGTATCTTTGTTCTCAGATCCCAGAGAGTCACAAATTATTGCTTGATTTATTAATCCTTCATCTCAATGCCAACTCTCGGTTATTATTAATATTTGCTTTTAAAAATGGCGAATAACTTAGTAATTTTTTTATATCGAAAAAGAAAATTGTAAACTACATTTTTGATCCTGTCATGCAAACTAAACCTGTAGGAAAGTTTTGTCGTACTGGTGGTTTATTTTTAGTAGAATCAATGTTTCAATCTTTGGTAGTATTAATACATCTCAGTCCTCAATTGGAATATAACAATACAAAATCTATTAAACTAACACAGTATTGGCAGATGTTAGGTTAGGCAAACACGCCTTCGGCAATATCATAGAGATAAGATTAATTTATCAATGTTAAAATTGCTTCTTCTCGACCGAGTTAAAACTGGTTTCGAATATTAAATCTGTAATATAATAATTTGTTATTTATGGTTACTACAATTTAATTGTCTTATGCATTGACATTATCGTTTTAAAGAAATGAGCTAAAATATAACATATATAATGCATTAGCTTATAAATTTTGCGTTCGATAGGAGATCCCTTGAAAATATACAAATCTTTCCCATGAGAACACGCGGATGAAACCATGGAAACTGCAACAGTATCATTGGCTAATGTCAAATAGTATACAATTATATATATATTTTTAATATCTACCTTATATTAACTTATTTACACAGCCACACGTTTTATATTTAGTTATTGGATCAATATTTTAATTTCAATACATTTATGGGATTGGAAATGATTGTTTTTTTAAACGAATTTTAATGAACTTAAATGATATAACTGGTTACCGTTGTAGTAATAGTGCAGTTAAACGTAAGCAATGGCCGCCAGTTTTGGCGAGCTGCCAAAACACAGCGCCATCTGTAATCGGAGTGATTGACACAATTGACATAGTTTGGCGGTCGTAATGAGCGTAGTTAAGTACTGAAACTGTTCCGAATGTCGCATTAGCTTGTCACAGTGACGAGATATCATCATTATCAAAATATTTCTACAAAACATCGTGAAAATTTAATCGAAATGGTATGTCATATTTCTGTTCGTCTGATTCTGTATGTGTACTTTGATCAATTAAATATAATGTAAGAAAGTAAATTTTAGAATGAATATTATTAGAATGAATATTATTAGAAAGAATTCCTTCCGAAAAAAGAGCGAAGCAGACACAATCTCTTTAAGTCAATATAAGTTGTTTTTTTGTCATTTCAAATTGAAGAAAACTTTACTGTTATATAAATAACTGTAAAATAACTGTAACAGTTATTTTATATTTAAAACCTCCAGCTATTGTGGTAAATTTTAAAAGGTTGGCAATAAGTTGTAAAGGCGCTACGCTACGCTGGCCATTTTCATCCTGTTTTGTACATGACATCCTTGTATTTCATAAAAATGCGTTAAAAAAAGGTTAAATTTTGTTTATAGATGATTGGCTTTTAAATTATTACATGTCTAGTTAACAATTTAAACTGAATAAATCATAAGACATTTTGTAACCAACTAATCCCTTTCAGAATTAATGAAATATTGAGTGCCAAATACATAACCATATAATGAAGAAAATGGACTATTTAATGGAAGAAAGTAAGCAGATCTTACAAAAGTTGTACGATAAGCAAAAGTGGGATAATTTATAACTGTAAGTGAAAATCTTATCAAAATCCCCGCCATATTTAATCTAAGCAAAAGTTGTGAGGTTATGGGAAAATTCCAGTTTCCTTGCACGACGCTTTATGGTGAGGCCGTGACTTGCACAACCTAACAAGGATATAAGGCCGCGGATGTGTTTACGTGACAGTAGCGGGCGGAATTATATTGGTATAGGTATTTGAAAGCACAGGTACAATTTCTAGAATCATAGAATCAAATAACAAAGTAAACAATGGATAAACAGTATCATATGCCTGAATAAGGTAACCATTAACAAACAAATACTATTAACTTGCTACTAAAAATGACAGTTGCTTTGATATTATTTCCTTTTGTCATAAAATGATAAATAAAATAAAATAATAAAAAAATTATATTCTATTATAGTTATATGAGATGAGAAGCATTATAAAACAATATAATATTTAAGCTTAATAAATAGAAACATTTTTGATGTTAGCAAATCGCTAGCGCTTAAGCAAGCGCTCGCAGTATGTAATAGGCTTATTTACTAGAACTAAGTAAATTGCAGAACCACCGTGATTCTCCATTAATCTTGCTGTAGCACTTCATTATTTATTATTCAGAACGATTTTGCGAGCTCCATTGAAAGCGAGCGAGAAAAGCAAGGTACATACAATAACTAACGAATACAGGCTACGTCAAAAGAATCTTCAATTTCTGATCTTAACAAAAAAAAAGTATCTCTAAGTAACATACACAACTTTGAAATCTTAGAAATATAATATGTCAAAAATACAAAGACCACGACTGCTAAAAACAAAGTAAAATATTATGCAGTTGTATTTTTCTTTAATTTTTAAATCAAGAAATTATAATGAATATTTAAAGACATAATCATTTGGCATGAGTAATAAATATTCCATTCAATCAAAACCGTTTATTAATTTAAAAATAATGATGGTATAAGACTCCCTATTCAATTTGATTCGATTGCATCTATAAAGAAAGCCAGATGGACTGACGAATAGGGTTGTTAAACGATGAAAAACTACACATTTTTCCGTATTAGGTATGGCGTCTCTTGTTGTAAATAAAGCCGAAATTAAAAATAATTTTAGAAGTTATTAACAAAAATCAAGTTATAGGGTGCCGTGTCAAAAACGGAAAAACGGAACCCTTATAATATCTAACTTATGTGTCTGTCAAAATAAAGATAGAATGAGACTTGTCCTCCTGTACAAGTCATGGAAGTCCACAATATTGGAACAAAATGTGGAAGTCCACAATAATAAAGTTCCACAAAATGTAATTGACCTACCCATAAATAAATTTCAAATTCATGTAAAGAATATACTTGTGAGTAAAGGCTATTATAAAGTTGATGATTATTTTAAGGATTGCAATGCATGGAATTAATAGCCTTCGCTTTGTTCTATAAAGACTAATTATATGTTCAACTTATGTCCTACAGACTTTGAAAGTTGTATTTACTATTGTGATAAATTGATAATACATATTATTTTGGTAATGACATGATTTATGTAAATGTCATTACTTATGATAAAAAGCTGATAAGTTTCTTTCGGTTGTTCTTCTTGTCAGCTAAAAGACGTCCTGAACAAGTGGTAGGGGAAAAAAGTTTTTTGGACGATTCAAAAGTGCTTGTAATAGCCTACTTGAATAAAGATAATTTCATTTCATTTCAGTCAGGAATGTGTTTTTGAGCTACGTCGGCAACAGAGCCACAATCCAATAAATATTACTTATTGGTTTAAACGGTGACAGATAATGATGACTTTTCGCACTGACAACCCCAATGGAATGGCTGGTCGTTCAAGGGCAAGTTGAAGGCAAGCGGTCTTGCAGACGTTCACGAACTCGTTGGACTGACATCATGAAGACCGTGACAAAAACCTATATTATCCAATATCGCAAAGGCTGCATTAACCAGATCATAATGAAACCACGACCTCTATTTCTAAAGTGAATGACTAAAGCGAGATATCGGATGAAAATGTGATGTGTAATTTTGTTTTAATATAGGATAATATTTATGTTAGTATGTATCTGTTGATCAATGTGATCAATGAATAACTGCAGCGAAAGTGCTATAATTTATTTAAGAAGCACTGCCCATTGACAAAATATGCGAATACAAATTACTTATTTAAGTTGGCGATTAGTCACATATAAAATACGCTCTCAGCTTAATTTATTGGTCGCTTCGTTGCGGGTCGTGAACCCGTAACGATTATATGCACATATATTTTGAAATTATACGAAATTATTGCATGTAAGTCGCTTTGTAGGAAATCTGATTTGGTTATTATTACCATCTTTTATATGGCAGCATCGTGGGAGACTATATGGGTGTAGTAACGTTGTATCATATTATTTCACAATCTTCTTATTGGATTAATTGGATATTGAATTTATGTTGTGCTTATTTTCAGATCTCATCTTAGCTGGAGTAGACTTTAGGAGTAATAAGACTTAGAGGATTAAAGGCATCCTATAATGTTAGTCCCGGATAACATTCTATTATGATTATGTCATATTTCATTTAAATCTAATATCTATCGAATACAGAGTAGATATAAATATAGAGCTCTAAAACAACAAAATAACCGTACCAGAAATAAGAGAATATTTATTTTCTACATTGACTCAATTGAGAATCAAACCTGACACTTGACATAGCGACTATGTGAACCAGGTCCAAGTTAGTTAACCAACGACTTGAAGTTAAATCATGAATATCATGATAATGTTAGGATTCAAATTAGTTGTCTGTAAATACTGACTTGACAGTTACTTCTACTGATGTTATAAAATATTGTACTATTATAAAATAAAATAAATAAACTGTGTAAAGTTTAAAACCAAAATAAGGCAATTACTAACAAAACACTTGGTCAGGGGTCAAATCGTGTCGATGCGACCTATTGTCATGAAACTTGATACTATGGCAATTTGCTCTGTAGTCTATTGTTTACCATAAATAGAAATCATGAGAGTAGGTGTGAATATTGGACATGGTTTATTTTGCATCCATAATTTATTTTATTAATGTGAATAAAGCAGTGGAACGATTTCATTTTATGGTTTTATTGAAAGCTTTATAATAGAGAGTAGGTTGATTCGAAATGAAAAATGAAAGCTATTTGCGCCGGCTTCGGCGTAAATAGCTTTACTTTACATGTATAGTATAAAAAAAAAACTAATTAAACAAAATCTTGTTTTAAAATGACTTATAATTATTATTGTTTATTATAAACAATAATAATTATAAGTCATTTATTTAAAGCATTGACACTCATATTCACAATCATAAGATTAAAATAAATAAAACTAGCTTGTACAAATAAATAAAATTAAAAATAACGCTCTTCGGTCAAATCTCCTATATTTTCCGGGAACCTGTTCATGTGTATAAAGGAAGTAGAGTAGTGTACTCATATAGTGCCCAATATTTTGTAATTGTAAAAGAAGATCTTCCACAATCTCAAAATAATATTTCATCTTTAAAAAACAACTATCACTGCAATACTAAACTCAAATATTCTTGAAAAGATACTTCGTAGTTTAACCGTATACAAAAAATAGATTAGAGGAATATAAAGCTTAAAGGAAATTCTATATCGAATATCTGATTTATATGAGTGGCCTACTCCTGGGAAGCGTGTCCCTCTTCAAAATGCGCCCGCAAAACCACTCTCTATTGTACGAAATTTTAACATTTATTTTATCGAAATATCTCATTTTAAAGACATTTATTCCATTTAACATTTTAAAGCACAAAAACTATATTAACTATTAAATTAAAAAAGTGACGTCTCGTCAATATTTTTTGTCCTCCGAAAAATGTGTTTCCGATGCTTGCAGTTGACTATTTGTTTACTATTAATATTTTTATTTCGGACCATTTTGAGTGTTAATTGGGCCTTCACAAACCTGTGGAAACAAAGGCCTTTACGCGAGTTTTAACTCTTTTCCGAGGCGAGTTTCTGTAAATGTGTTTTGGTTACTGGGTGTGATCAGTGCGGTGGCAAGTTTATATAATGAACAGAATGATGTATTGTATCGATAAGTTAGTATGTTTTAGGTAATTGCCTCTATATTATTTTCTGTAAATCTGTAAGGTGGCGTCATCGCTGTAGCGCAGTGGACCACCAAAATGACGAATATACATTATACATAGCCATGATATACTTTAACTGTATAAACTTTAAATATTTAATTTTCCTACAATACAAATATGTATTTGTGAGTAAGCTTAGGGCTAGATTGTGGCATGAGAACGGGATATTCCAGACTTGGAAATATAGAATAAGGCAATAGTTTCCCAGGGAAAATAATGAAATGTATTCTCTTACTATTTCATATGCTTTTAATTTCTAAACAATATAAAAAATAATATCTTAATTGGAATTATCTTAATTTAAAGAAATACTCTGTTAGGTTTCAACAAGATTTTTTGTTATCTTTTTGAATTTTTGAATTTTTCATTGTTTATTCTAAATGCTCATGATGTGATTACGACATAATTTTAATACTAGGGAGAGAATATGAGTCCTCGTTAAAAACTTCTATATTTTTGTTTATATTACGTAAGTGTCTGGCATCAACCAGTTTATTATTAAAAAATAAATATATTATATATAATATACTAGCGATTTTTTATTCAAATATTTAAAAAAAAATATTTTAATAATCAATTAAGTAATATTAATGTCTTATACCGTCAGTCTGGTGGCGCAAAATATGAATAAAATATTTCCCCGGAAGTATTGTGTTTTAAAGACTATAATCAAGCACATTTGGTTTAAAGTAAATTGTGAAAAAAAAAAATTCGCACCCGCAATGAAAGAAAAATAGCCGCTCTAAAAATTTATCCTCTATCAGTATTATTAATAAACAAGGTTTAGCGTTGGAGTAAAGTTACGCTGAGACTGCACTTGGTATTAGTCAAAATTCATATTATTAAACAGAGACTTAGCAAAGTTTAACCTAGCAAGAGGTTCTAGTAAGTAATATTTACTTTTTAAAAGTAATATTTACTTTTTAAAAGTAGTAGGTTTGCTTATTCTCTGTAAAATATGAATATGGAATAATACTTTATTTTAGGATAAATCTACTGTGACGCAAAACTTTGTTTATTTAATAGTACTCTAAGGGTTCAGATAAAAAGAGAGGTGGATGCTGCACTGGACGCTGAACACAATAATTTTGTGTTTAGACCGTGGATGTTCACACTAAGTAAACTAGTGAATTGTTACACTAAGTGACAGTTTGTAAACTAGTGAATTGGCGGAGTAATCGCGTAACAAACACAGAGAAAAATATGCAGTCGAATTGAGATACTTCTCCTTTTTTGAAGTCATTCTGAAATGGAAAGGCGGTTTTAAAATTAGATGCCCATGCTTTTAACCGCCCAACTTCAAATAAAGTTTTGAAAATGTTTTAACCGCCTTTGTAGTTTTTTATTCTTAGTCGTATTTGGTTGAAAAAAAATTTATTTAAGAATGTTAATGACAAAAATATCGTCAAGATAATTTAGATTATGTAACTCTTTTAGACAATTGGTATAAAAACAAAACTACTTCCTTTTGACACTACCCTTTCAAAAGAAAAAAGTATCATTAGCATCGGTCCATTAACGACAAGTAACAATAAAAATTGGCAAATTGAGGACCTCCTCCTTTTTGGAAGTCGGTTATAATATAAATAAGGTAAAAAGTAGGTACGAGCGGTGCTTTTGGGAAAAGAATTAATCTAGTAATATATCTTCTACATCATATCTAAATCCTAAGTGACAAAGAAAGCTGTCACGCTAACGGTCAACTTCCAACAGTAAGGATATATGATATTAACTGTTTTCCTCCGTCTTCGTTCGCGTAAATTATAACCTATTTTATCCGCGTACGATATCCGCGTAGCTTCTCGTAAGTGAAAGAATATTTTAAATCCGTCCAGTAATTTCGTTACAAATAAACAAACAATTTAATATTTCCTCTTTAAACCATTAGGATAGACTAGAGACTTAGAGTATAGACTTAGACTAGGCTACAGGGTGGCAAGTCGGCAAAATGCCACGGGCCCCCAGCTGGAAGAGGCCCCCGGAGGGAGACTCCTTACTCCTGACATTTATTTTTACGCAATTAGTAAAAAAAAATTAATATCCGATGAATTTGCCACGGACCTCAAACGGTATAGTTGCGCAGCTGATTAACACTTCAGCCATTCTTACAGGTCTAAACTATATGTCATTCTAATTTACAATACTTTTAAGATCAGTAAACTTGTGACATAAGGGATAATTAACACAATTTCTAATACTCTTTATGACAAAAAATTGTGTGGGCGATTTCTGTAGCTCGTTTTTATTGGTCATTAGTTTATTGAACAATGAAATGACTACTGCACTCCTCATGCGAACTATTCATCATCATCATCGGGCCTTTATTACGTCCCCACTGTAGGGACTCAGGCCTTCCTTATGGATGGTTAAGGAGCATGGGCCATGACCCTCCATGCTGGCCAAATGTGGATTGGCGGATATTAACGACTACAAATGCAGCCGGGACCAACGGCTTAACGTGTCTTCCGAAGTACAGAGTAGCTCGAGATAATAATTTTTTGGTCAGCCATCCCGTGTCAGACCCTTGCAAAAGTTGCTTAACGACAACGATCGCGTGCCGTGGCGCTTACCCACTACGCCACCAAGCTACTCTGCGAACATGCGAACTAATTATATTAAGCTATTATATTGATATCTACATATCGGATAAAACCGAATACATAGTTTTTATTTGTGAAACCGAACATAAAACAATAAATTTCAAGTTAACGGAAGAGTAAAACATCGGTCAACATGTTGTAAGCGCAGCGACAAAGCTCATTGTTAAACGGCCGACCGGAACCGGATGTCGCGAGCGACGCTGACATCCGTCGCTGGCGTCACTTACCCCGCCATTGTGTTTTGGCTGGAAAACGGCGGACAAATCCGTCATTATGTCTTGAGTACTAGTTGACTTTGCACTTTCCCCTTTTTTTAGTATACTGGAAAATTTTATCGTTATATTTTTCATTGTCTAAATATAACACGCAAAGGGATAACTACATTTAAAGTGCATATTACTTAAAATACGTCTCGTAATTGTCGATCGATGCATTCAACCTTAAAAACTCGGCGAAGATCCATTACTTAAATTTAATGTTTTCTGATTATTTATCAATAAACCTCTGCCATGCCGGCCGGTTTGCGTCTAGAGGAGTGGGGATGCAGCAGCGTGGCCACATAACCGATGAACGATGGGTCACTATTTGCCAAGCCACCGAGGACATCGGACTTTTATCAATCGTTCCTCTTAATGTCTCCATTTCTAGGCCATATGCATTTCTTATACATAAAATTAAATAGAGAGAACGGGCCATTATACTACGCAAGCCCTGTGCGGATAACTACTATCCTACTCGTATCTACTTCAAAAGGTAATTCTGCAAAAGATTTTATTCGATCGAACCTTTGTTTTTTGTATTTTAGCAGAATATTGAGAAATGATTGACCGCGATCCTATTTACCTTCTAATCATGACATTTTTTCTTTTATGCTTTTAGCAGTTCAAAAATAATATCAAGTATTTTTATTTTACATTTTTAGAACAAAAATATGAAGTTTGTTGACGAAAGGTGAATGTGTTATTGCACCGTCCCGATCCGGTGACTGTTTTCGGCATTTCAGCTTAAAGGAACTGGTCAAATTCCAGCTTTCATACCAAGTAAACCTCTCACGCTGTCTCTATCTCTTTCTCGTGTCAGGTTCCGGTGTTTAACAGGGAATTTATAGGAGAAACGTGTCAATCCTAACGTGATTCGTTAATTTTCATAGCTAAAGTGAAGGCAATAATGACAGAAGATAAACTATTTCTTCTTCTTTTTTTTCTTTCGTTTTTTTTTTCCCCTGTGGCAACACTAGCGTAAACAGCTGTTATTGTTATCTCTTACTTTTTAGTTTTTGTTTTATTAATATTTATGTTACTTATGGCTAATTTCTAAAGAATCACGTAATATTTGTGTAATTGAATTATAAATATTGTTTTTGTGAACACCAGTGTATCGTAATAAAACTTGTTTTTACGTAAGTACAAATCTGTATCAACCGGTGAATGACGTCACCCTTTTTAAAATTGTTAATCGTTGTTGTTCCTCTTGTATGATTTCTTTTGTTTTTTTCTTTTCTCGTCTACTAATGCATCACGAATAATATTTACAGGCTAAGTTACTTTTTAGCCAAAAAGTGTTGAGTTTTCCTTCAGATAACCTCACACTAGTTGATCGAACGACTTCTTGGACTATTGCTTTATACTTTAAATAGTTTTCTATTAACCTAAAATGATGACACGCAAGGCCTTAGCTCGTCAAGAGGAATCAAAATTTCAAATAACTTTACAGGAATTAAAGGCCACCAAGGAGTTGGTTGAGCAATTACTTAGGGAGAGGGAGGACAATGAAAAAGAGTTATTGGATGTGCTAGAAAAGAATAAGCAATGTAAAAAAGAACTGTCTGAATTGCATTGTAATTATTTAATAATAACTGAGGAGAAAGATAGATTACAATTAGTAATAGAAGGGTTCGACCAATGCAGAAGTGAGTATGAGAAGGCCCTTAGGCTCATTTCTGGATTGGAACAGCAACTAAAGGAGGCTAACGATTGCATATATAAACTGGAATCTGAGCAAACAAAGGTTATGGCCTCTCAGAACCAGAGTCTATATGATGAGTTGGTTGGTTGTGCCCCCAGTCTCGTTTCTGCCTCACTTAACATTAACCCAGTGACAATTGGATTGACTACAGAAGATTTTATTGAGTGTTCTGTAAAAAGAGGAGTTGTTAAGTGTAGTAGGAATAGATTGAGAAAATATATAAAACTAAATAGGTATGTTAATAAAACAAAAAAACTATTACATAAACAAAAATTAATTAACAAAAATTCTAAATTCTCAAAGGAACGCATACAATTGATAGAGAAATTAGAAACTTGCCGTTCTATAATCGATGAAAATAGGACAACCTATGAAGAGAATATTAACATGTTAAATAGCAAAATAAATAACCTGCAAAATTCATTAGTAAAAATGACTAAAAATTATAATCACTCCAAAAAAGAGATAGGGGAATACATACTAGCCTTGAAATGCTTATCAAATACCTCTATATCAGAGGGTACACAATTGAATTCTTTCTCCTTGGTGTCAGGCCTGGATTCCAGGGACAAGCAAAATAATCAATCAGTATGTGAGCCCTTATACTCTAATTCTGTTAATTATACACAAAGCACAAGTGACAATAACTCTTTTAACAATAAAAAATGTATAAAAACGGTTATATTATGTGATGAAATTGGAAAAGACTTGGGCCAATTATTACATAACCAGTTGGGAGATAATAACATTATTAATTATTGTATGCCAGGTATTGAATTGCATCAACTAATGCAAAAAGTGCTTACTTTAAATATTGACGAGCGTACAAACTTAGTTATTTTAATTGGAAACAGAGGTAATGTAAATAAAAGAGAATTATGTAACTACTTCAATACCTTAAGTTCCTTGAATTTAAATAAAATTATTATGTTTACATTACCTTATAGCAACAGTTTGCCACAGGAGGAAAATAATATTAGATATAAATTTAATATGACATTAAATACTATAGCTAATTATAATAAAAAAATACATGTAATTGACATAAACAAATTAATCTTTAATTTATATTTGACAAGAGATAAATATTATCTTTCTTTCTATTTTAAGAGACAAATAGCATCCTCGCTAGTTTTTTATTTTAAAAATTTAGCCAATAATTTGGCTATCTCTACTGCTTTTATTGAGCAGAATGATTTTGACTTAAACAAACAGACTTTGGAATATGTTCCAAAACTAAATTTTGACAATTTAAATAATTTAAATTGTTTAATAAGACAATAGAGAAAATCTCTAGCAATAAGATGACCAAGGAAAAGTCTACCTATTTAACTATTGTTCACCAAAATATACAAGGCTTTTCTGGAAAAGATCTAGAATTAGAAATGTGTTTAAATAGTATGAATATTGATATAATATGTATTACAGAGCACTGGCTCAAAAATTATGAATTAATTACGGGTTTTAAAAATTATAAAATTATAAGTTCATTCTGTAGGATAAATGCCATACGAGGGGGTTCTTTAATAATAATAAGTAATTATTTAAAATGTAAAGAACGTAAAGATATAGTATCCCTCTCAATTGAGCGACATATTGAATTGTCATGTGTGGAACTTGAACAGTATATTATTATATGTGTATATAGACCACCTGATGGGGACTACTGTCAATTTGAATCTGCTATGGAGGATGCATTTAAATTAATTTGCAAAGTCGATAAGAAAGTAGTGATATGTGGTGATTTTAATATAGATATTTTAATAAAATGTGCTAAATCAAGTAGATTTTTGAACTTGTTTAAATGTTTTAATTTAGAAAATATTTTTAATGAACCTACCCGCATTACACCCACATCTGCTACTTGCTTAGATAATATTTTTTGTAAATGTAAGGTGTTCAAAAAATCGATTATAAATTGTATTCAATCTGACCATAGCGGAGTTCTAGCAACTTTCGAGCACCATCATGTTTCTCCTAAATGCAATATAATTTGTAGACCTATTACCAAAAGTAATTTAGAAAAATTTAAAAACAGTGTTTCTGCAAATCATACTCAGTTGACAACTAGTAATTTGGAAAATATAAATGATGTTTATAATAATTTCTTTAACTTGATAAAGGGAGAATTTGATAAAACATTTAAACTCAAAACAATTAACTTTACTAACCAAAAAAAGAAATTTAGTGATTGGGCTACACCTGGCATCTACAAAAGTCGAAATAGGCTGTATGATTTGTATGAGCTAAAGTGTACCTCGACCGATCCAAAGTTTATTGAATATGTCAGAAATTATTCGAAAATTTTTAGGAAAGTATGTGTTTCAGCAAAAGCAAAATATATATCTGAAAAAATTTACAATTCAGAAAATAAAATAAAAACAACCTGGACTATCATAAATCAAGAAACGGGAAAAAATAAAAGTAATATGCGCACATACTCATTAGAGGTTGACAATAAAATTATTAAAACAGATGAAGCGGTTGCCGAGACATTTGAGAAATTCTTTTCTAAGACACCAATAGAAATCACAAGAAATCTTAGTTCATGTTCTAAACTTGCGGTTACGCATCTAGAGTCAGTTGTTGATAAGTGCAATACTGAATTTTATTTTAGACACGTTAACGTCTGCTCAATTATTAAAACATTTAATTGTATTAATGTCAAAAAAACCGAAGATCTTTGGGGCGTTTCAACTTATGTTATCAAATCTATAATACCAGCTATAGCACCTCAATTAACTTTTATTTTTAATAAGTGCATTGATGAAGGAACTTTTCCTGATTTAATGAAATATGGTAAAATAATCCCACTTTTCAAGGCAGGCGACAAGTCTGATCCTAGTAATTTCAGACCAATTTCTATTCTACCAGCATTAAGTAAAGTATTTGAGAAAATGATGTACAATCAACTGCTTGCACACTTTTCATTAAATAAATTACTTCACCAAAATCAGTTTGGCTTTAGAAGAGGTAAATGTACAACAGACGCTGGAATTGCACTTCTGAGGCATATCTATGATGCTTGGGAGAATAAACAAGATGCTATTGGCATTTTTTGTGATCTATCAAAAGCATTCGACTGCGTTAGTCATGAAACACTGTTGGGGAAATTAGAACATTATGGTGTGACGAAAAATTCACTTCATCTAATAAGATCATATCTTTCTGCTAGAATACAAAAGGTAGTAATCAATGAAGCGAAATCTGCAGGGGCACCAGTTACTATGGGCGTACCTCAGGGATCGATATTAGGACCATTGCTTTTTCTAATTTATATAAATGATCTTCCTCACTTTACGAAGAATTTGTGCGAGACAGTATTATTTGCAGATGACACCTCTTTACTGTTTAAAGTTGAGAGGGGTAATGATTGTTTTGACGATGTAAATAATGCTCTCGACAACGTTCTACAGTGGTTTGATAATAATAATTTAAAGCTCAATTCAAATAAAACGAAATGCATAAAGTTTGCATTACCTAATGTGAGGCATGTCAGTACACTTATAAATGTAAATAGTGAAAAAGTTGAGTTAGTAGAATCGACAAAGTTCCTTGGTATTACACTAGATTCCCGACTGCAATGGGATCCTCATATTGATAGCTTGTCAAGTAGACTGAGTTCTGCAGCTTTTGCTGTTAAGAAAATTAGACTCTTGACAAATGTTGAAACGGCAAGATTGGTATATTTTAGTTATTTTCATAGTGTAATGACGTATGGTATATTGTTATGGGGTTCTGCGGCTAGCATTCAGGATGTTTTTATTTTACAAAAGAGAGCTGTCCGTGCTATATATAATTTACGGTCTAGGGAATCTCTAAGAGAAATATTTAAAGAAATAAATATTCTGACTGTTGCCTCTCAATACATCTATGAGAATATTATGTATACAAGAAAACATTACGATTCCTTCACAAAAAAAAGTAGTGTTCATAATCTTAACACAAGAAATAAAGATAAACTTGCCGTTCCAAGCTTCAGACTTCAAAAAACCAGAGGATCATTTCTGGGTAAATGTATTGCTATGTTCAATAAAGTTCCACAAAATGTAATTGACCTACCCATAAATAAATTTCAAATTCATGTAAAGAATATACTTGTGAGTAAAGGCTATTATAAAGTTGATGATTATTTTAAGGATCGCAATGCATGGAATTAATAGCCTTCGCTTTGTTCTATAAAGACTAATTATATGTTCAACTTATGTCCTACAGACTTTGAAAGTTGTATTTACTATTGTGATAAATTGATAATACATATTATTTTGGTAATGACATGATTTATGTAAATGTCATTACTTATGATAAAAAGCTGATAAGTTTCTTTCGCTTGTTCTTCTTGTCAGCTAAAAGACGTCCTGAACAAGTGGTAGGGGAAAAAAGTTTTTTGGACGATTCAAAAGTGCTTGTAATAGCCTACTTGAATAAAGATATTTTCATTTCATTTCATTTCATTTCATTTCATTTCATTTCATTTCATTTCTATATCTTAAAATTGAATTCAGAATGGCAATCAAGAAAAAAACTCGCTTGAAATAAATTAAAAATAAGAAGATAGTCCTGCAGCCAACATAAATAATACTGATTTAAATATTAACTGTTTGGAATCCTTACACAAAGTACCGTCAACACAACAAACAATGTGGCGTGGAAATAAAACTGTTTGAATAATTACAATATTCATATATGACGTGAAATTAATTTCAATGTAAAATGGTTCTTTTGCAGACCAAATAAGGTATATTGTACAAACAAGTAAAACTTAGAGGTTTCGTATGTAGATTTTAGAAGCGATGGACGGAATCGATATCGCCCGAAGAATCTACCAATTAAATCGGGACGCGTAAACGAGTTGTCGTAGAGTATTAATTTTGTTAGACAAGACATAAAATAAAAAATAAGGTTAAAAATAAATCGTAATTTTTAAATAACTAGCAAAATATGTAAGAATTTTATAAACATTTACTTATTTATTATACATGAATAGTACACAAACAGAGTACAATCAGATAATTAATAAAAAGAAGCTTACAAACATTATATAAAGTGTTTTAACTAAACTTTAGTATGTTCCAGCACAGCATGAACATTATTGACTTACCTACAACATGTACAAACTATAGATATGGTATATGGCAAATTTAAATATTGAGTGGTGTTGAGGTTTTATCAATATTATAATTAATTTTGTTTCAGATTTTTTTTAAATTGTTATAAATAATCTAAGTAAATCCGATATTTGGAAACGTAATACATTATGTGTTTAAAAACTCATGATCCATACAAATACTCGAATTACTGTTGTCTCCTTGATGTCTACTTCCTACATTGTGATACCTTTTTGCTCAATTAATATTTAAGAACAGCCTGTTTATAATAATAAGTTGTACTTTACAGTATAAATACAATTGTTTCGTTGTTTTCTGCTTCTCTGAATAAAATGCCATTTTGTGAATGTGTGATTTCAGTTAGAAATTGTTATTTGTAGTATTTTAAATATTTAACTTTTCGCCGACTCTGGACGTCTATGGCTCTATGGCGACATGAATCAAACGGGCTACAATAGTAGGCCCTAATTAAAATAGATGGCCCATTTACATTCTTATTTAGATTTACTGCATTGCCCATTGTAATCAGCGTGAAAAAGTTGGTACTTAAGTGTCACATTGGTAAGTTGGGGAATTTAACTCGGAAGGAAATTTTAAGAGCTATAACTGAAAAAAACGTACGTATTATGCAGTATATAGAACTATGAGATGTTACAAAGTACATGCTATTTTATACAATAGAATTTTAAAAGAACAGATTTATCATACCACCCAGATACAATGCAGTATATAAATGTAATAACGATGGTGTCGCTGAAATGGCAGTGCAATGCAAGACAAGCGACGATGATATAGAGTCAGACTTTATTTTACTGTAGTCTATTGCTATAAAAGTGAAATGATATTAAGGAATTTCCACACCCAGTCAGTATCTGCAAGACCTACTGTGTACTGCCCGTACACAAATTCACATGTGGAAACGACAACAAATCTCGTAAAAAGTCACCACTCTACACATGTGTCGCTCCTCCATGAAGTATCCTATCGTATCCTATCCTATAACCACCGAGCAAGCCGTTTGTACAATGTGAATTTGAGTACGCGCGGTTCGCAACAGATACTGTCTTGCAGATACTGACCGGGTGTGAAAGTTGCTTTATATCAAAATTTCACAGTTACACTTGACGATGAAGTATGTATGGGAATGTCGTATGATCTATTTTTAACAGAACTTTAAATAAAGTGATAAACATTAAGGGAGCGTGTACACCAAAAGCACTAACTCTCAACTGATTCTGTTAAAAAAATAAATAACATCCTGATAAGCTGAATTAATCAAAAAAGCCATAATTAAAAAACCGGCCAAGAGACGGACTCGAGCACGAAGGGTTCCTTACTATTATCCAGTAAAAAAAGTCACGTTTGTTGTTTTATATGAAGTTGTTCGAAATTGTCGAGTTAAATACAATTGGTCGACTATTACGTAAACTTGTAGAGTCAACTTAAGTATGATCCTTTTAACTTTGTTATATAAAGACACTACTGCCGATCCTTGACTCTAACGTAAATTAGCCCTTTAAAGCTATATAACTCAAAAATGGTTTACTAAATCGAAAAACGGTTTTCGCACACTCCCGAGTTTTGGAAAGACCTATCCAACGACGCACAACAATATGGGAAAGACGAAAAAATATACCATCCCCACTCTACATGAAGGGGAGGTACCTAAATTTTTTTTCGAAATTTTACTTTACCATTTTGCCAGCGTAATTAACGTGTATACTCATACCAAATTACAATTTTCTAGTACCAAAAGTTTATGACCTAAGCCGCGGACGGTAGGACGGACAGACAGACGGACATGATGAAACTAAAAGGATTCCTTGTTTACAACGGATCTCTAAAAATGAAGAGTAAAAAGATGAATCTACTTGATATTTCTATTTCTAAAAGGTTTTTTTATTAAAATAAAAAAGCCAACAAACGTACACTTGTAATAAAAAATAAAACAAAAAATTGATCATTGCTCTACAAATTTTCGTAGGCGTTTATTATTATATACATTTCGTAATTGATACAAAGACAAATAACTTATAACATTTTAATTTACACCTAAAAAACATATTCCATTATTAAATATGGGTCATGGACAGTCGTATACAGTTGTCGAGGTAATTTATTATAATAATGTATGCTAATTTTATTGCTCTAGATCTTCAGAGATTCCCGCCCAGAATGCAAGTGAACAGAAATCTCCGATGAAGTTTGATGCTCAGATACGAAGTTCAAAAACCTTAGATGCGAGGTAAAATATTTGTTTTATATATATTACCTTCGTCGTGAATCAGTCTCTATATTGATGTGAAAACCGTAATAACATCCGTAGTGGAGTTTACAAGATCTCAGCATAAAGACAGTGGGACGCAACTTTGTTTTATACTGCTATATTTATAGATAAACTGTAATTAAAAATGAGAAAACTACAACATATTTGTAAGAGTTCTAAAATAGCCAATTTTTTCCTTTGAAACACCAAGATTAAACCCCCGTTATATATATAGATTAATATTTGAGTCTTTTGTAGCCTAAAGAATCAGGACTCTTAGCACTAAGTTTGCGAGTAAATAATTGAAAACAGTTTTTGCTAGATATGTTTAAATGCAAAAACAAAAACGTACAACATTGTAGGCCCCGACGAGATTCGAACTCGTGATCTCCTGTTTACTAGACAGGCGCTTTAACCAACTAAGCCACGGCGCCGTGGCGGTCGCTGTCGAAATTATCATACACTAAGCCCTCGCACGGAGACTAAGAAAAAACTCGCTCGACTCGTTCGTCATGGCTCGTTTTAAAAACCCATTTTTATAAATTTTTAACCCCGACTTCTCCGCAATTATTCAGTGTATACTATCTCAGGAACTACTGGTTCCTATAAAAAATGAGTTTTGTGTTGAATTATCTATGTATGAAAAATGTTTAAAAAAACGGCAAAACTACGCAGGTTAAACCGCTGGCGGAACGCTAGATTGATATTTTGGAAAATGAAATAGCACCTGGAGAGTTTTAAAGTCTAATCTAATGTCAAAGTAGCAATTATTTGGCGCAAAGTTGCAAATAACTAATTAAACAGTACCAAATAAAAAAACTGTATTTTATTAAATAAATGTCAGTTCAGTAAAACCTACATCTTCATGACATTGTCAGGTTGTCAAGCAGATCAAGGATTCTATATTTTTCCACATCCAGATCAATAATAATTCATTTAACGAACACTCTCTCAATATTCTTTAATTGGGAACATGTGACGTAACATCAAATAACGCTATCATCTCATAACTCAAATAAAGGGGCTTGATAAGTGCCTATTGACATTCTTTATTATAACGACGATCCGCTCCTAAAGCTAATCAATTATGGTTTTAAAAGCAGCGGCAATAAAAGGACAAGGATTAAAAAATTACATTGTTTTTGTTTTATATTATTTTTAATTAAACAATGATACATATAACCTTATTAATACTTATACACATTAACCTCCGCCACAAATCACTCTATTTTAAACGTATGAAACTCAGTTCACTTCCCTCGTCTTTGTGATTTTTCCTTTTATAATATTTTTGTAGATAGATATTAAAGGAAATCATTATTGACGGTTCTACATAATTTATTATTTTATTGTATAATGATTCATTTCTACCTTTTACTTTACACCATTGAATATTCTATCATACTCGTTAAATTAAAGGTAAAGTTTGGATCAATCAGAAGTTTGATACAACGAAAGTTCTGGATCTATAAATGGATCACTGTCATGATGGGGTGTATATAAATACTCCGAACTAATTTTATTTCTGATTATTTCTTTGAATAGCAAATAAATATAGATTTCAAAGAAATAATATATTTCACAACGAACAAACCATATTCAATGTGTCGATAAAATTGATAAGCGTTTCATAGTTTATATATAATAATAAATAAATTTATTTCTTTGTACACCAGTTACAATTTTGTTCTTCAGTTCTCGCTCAAATTAATCGTGCAAGGTATGTCATAAACATTTATTGAAATTTTTTTAATTTTCATATTGACAACTTTAATATGTTACCTATTCATAATGCATAAATTATTACGTTTTTTTTTTCTTAATATGTGTTCTGCTAACTCTCTTTCAGTTGTAATCTTGATGGTTTGTTGTACGAGCTAGTTTGCTCTTAGTTAATTTAAGAGGCAAAGACCCCCCCCCCCCCCCCGTAGCAAATTATGTTTCTCCACTCTTTTTCTTTAGAAACTTTGAATAAATAAAATGTACACTACTCCCCCTGCTTGGTTTTCTGTAAGTTTTTCCAGAGATTTCAATTCACCATTCATGGCACCAACAAATAAATACAAAAATAAATTTAAAAAACTTAAACAGCTGAAGGAAGGGTTATATACATTTAAATTTACAGAAATCAATTAATGTCCCCAAAATTAGTCACAAAGCCGCAGCAGTTCCATGATAAATGCTTATAAAAACAATTTATCTTGATAGCAAATTCATTTTGAAAATACTCTCGCTTCTGTTTGACCAAAAGTGAGTTACGAAGTTATATTAATTTACCTAAAGCTTTCACCCTATTCATTGCTTTAAGTTAGAGATTAAGTAATAATATAACTTTATGTTTGACTATGTAAAGGGAAAACGTGTCTTGTTGCTCAAATTTAAGTTACTTCAGAAAGTTTCATACGAAATTGGAATTAATGTCTGAAATTTAATGCGAAATATGAAAAGAAAATGATTGAGTTGTTGAATGGTTTTAATATTTTTGACAGTATTTCAACAAATACTATTATACTCGTATATTTGCTTAATTTTGTATTCAAATACTTATTTTTGTTTATCTTAAATAAAAATGCTTAAAATAGTAGATGTATTTTCGGAACAATGATGAGAATACGCTCCCTAGTAGCAAAAGTATCGAGAGTTCAAGATATTGGCCAGTCTTTAATTTGAAAGTGAATGTAGTAATAAAAATAAAATTCGGTGACATACATATGTCATGTATGAGTATTTTTTGTCATTCAGGGGAATGCTTCCAGTTATTTTGATACAAAAAAAATGGGACCACCTAAGAACCTGCAATAAAAAATGATTTTGAAATCGGTTTAAAATTCGCAGCGAATCAGTGAACATTCATTTAAAGATATATATACCCATCGAACATCATTATGTTCTTAAGGGATTCTCGCCATTATTTTCGATTTGAACTAAAGTTAAAATATTTTGTTACTAGTTTTTGATATAGACTTCATGGATCGTGCCGAAAATCCCTAATAGTTTTCTCATTATAGTGCCTAAATCTGTCTTTCAAAATCAACAGTTTGTTATTGACAATGCGTATGATATGTTGTCTACAATGTAACGTCGAAACATTGCACTATTATTTCCATTGTAGCATGTTTCAGTAATTAGGTCATCTAATATTTGTTTAGTTTTTGGTTGTCCATATAGAAAAATAAACACAACGTTTAATGACACAAAAGGCAAGTCGTGAACGCCTGCTAAAGGTCTGGACTAATCTTACGCTTACAAACCAAAACCAAAATCAAAAATCAAAATTTATTTATTCAGTTTAGGCTTTTACAGAGCACTTGTGAAAGTCGAAAACTACGCCATAACTACGGCGGGAGACCTTGCACTGAGAAGAACCGGCAAGAAACTCAGCAAGGGCTGTTTTTTTCTCCCTGTTTTATTTCACACAGAGAAGTCTTATTGAAAAGTGACTTCATTAGAATATGAAGTCACTGTCCATTACAATATTAGAAAGTACATACAATAAAGTTAAAATATCTAACACCATGCCTTTTTGTCATTTATATATTCCTTAACGGTATAATACCCTTTACTTTGTAGACAATTTTTAATATGACTTTTAAAATGATTTATTACCACGAGTTACAAACCATAATGAAGTATCTAAGCCCCTCGTGTGACTAGGTCTATTGATAAAAATTACATGAAACTTCTTTCTGTAGTTATTTTTAATTTAATGTAATCAGACAGATACGCGGCAATGTAACTTTGTTTTATTTTAGAATATTAATTGATTACAAATTTAGTTATGATGTTAGATTGCTGTGTTTTATAATCCTTACTAAAATTATAAAGAAGAAAGATTTGGTTGTTTGTTTGATTTGATGTAGTTTAATAGCTAAAATTGATGAATTAGAATCACATTTGATAAATATACATCACTGTAAATTCAAATAAATGCCAAATATTTAATAATGATATTAATATTAGCATAGTTAAAAATTTAAAATAATTTGTTTGTCTTTCGCTCACATTTTTTTATAATACTCGGAATCTAAACAAATAGAATATTGCACTTTTTTATTTGTAATACAAATTGTGATTGTTAAGTTTCATATAAATAATATAGGTAGGTATAATATAGGAAATATTGGTAGGTGAAAAACCTAACTATTATTTCAAACAACGTAAAACAAATACACAAAACGTGCACAAAACTAAAGATTTGTGTTCCCCAGTTACATGTTTTCACATTTAACATGTGCTCATAACTTAACAATGAAAGTTAATTAGCCGAATGTGCCTCCCCCTGTTCTGACATTTGATAACATTATTCTTAACAAGCTTTTGTTTAAGTTTTAATTGAGCTCGTAGCGACAGGGGACACTATCAACAATCAATAATGACTCGTTAGTTCTCTCTATTAGCCGTCACGATTATTACAAGTTAATTAAGTTTAAATTCTGTCCACTATTTCTTTAGATTTTGGATGATAAAAATATTATTCGTATTATAAACCTCAAGAAAAGAATAAATACTACACATTTTTTTACAAAAAAATAAGCGAATTGCAGAGTAAAAAATCGGACCTATCAAAATATATATGGAGAAGGAAGGCCTTCAAAGATTATTATTATAATGATAACGACACGTCTAAATAGTGATAATCCGTCGTCTAAAATTACTACTCTGTTTAAAACATTAGCCACCTAAAACAAATTGAAATTGACAGAAAAACAACTTCATATCGAGACGTGTTTACATATTTTGGTCGGATAATTATTTTTTGGTACTAAAGTTAGTTGTTGTTGTTATATAAAAAGACAGATTATGTGTATGATATAATGCGTTTAATAAAACTAGAAGTAATAATCATGCTTCTCAATTTTGACATTTGCAAGTAACTGAGGAAATAATACACGTTATTAGCAACTGATAGAAATAATAATACCGAAAAATAACAGTAAATGAAACTTATTTCTTTGGAATTCTTAATTAAAACCCAATATATTTTAAGTAACATTCGGCGGTACATAAAAAGCCTGAGCAAGGTTCACGCGCCATTAAAATAACACGCTGTAAAAATTAAATGAACTCATTACATATCGCTACTGAATGCACCAATCGGTCAACCTTATCATAACAGCGTATAGAGTATACTTTCCTGTGGCGTTACGGGGTGAATTTCCTTGTGTTAATGGGTTGTTTAAATGTGACATGCCGTAAATCCTCTTCAAGTCGTGACGTTTATGCTTTACAACGTAATTAGGGTTTAACCGACTGCAAAAGATCCAGTGGCGTATTATTATGAAGGAATATAAGATAAAAACTTCTTCTAATTGGTTATCAAAGTTTTATTGAGAAATATCTATAACATTAAAATATAATCAATGTTTTAAGATGAACGAAAACAACTTAAAGTTTTTGACAGTTCATCAAAACAAA